GTATTTCTGTAGGCCATTTGACATTCCATGTACTCGCTTAATGGCACAATGTAATTGATAGATCAGACATTAAAGGTGAAAAATATCTACAGTAAATATAACCAACCACTACAGACCAGATCTTACAAATTCACCTATAGGCATTTAGTTGCCAGGTCAGGATGTTATCGTCACAACTCATTTCTCACACTGAGAAAGTAGCATGCCGGACATGGTTATTACAGTAAAAGCGCGCTATATAGCGCAGGTGTCAGGGGACATAACACTCACGTTATAGCCTACCCGCGTTATAATGCATACAAGAAAGAGTTTCTCAACGTCTCCGTATATATGTGTACTCTATCTCTGTGTCTTCGTGTCTAGTTTGCCCAACTGGGCATGCGCGGCCGAGGGGCTTGAGGGCCGGAGTGGTGGCTGACGGCTCTCTGCCCTACTGCGCCACGACCAATGGAGAAGGGAGGGTGGGGGGGGTTAGGGGCTGGATCGGCCACTGAACACCCAAGGACGTTGGCACGGACCACCACCGGTGATCTTAATTCCTCTTCGCCTTCCATCCATTCCCCACAAGCGGTGTTACATTAGGATTTCGCTGTACCTCTGCCCCAATTGTGACACACACATGCGATCGCAACGTGGGGCTGTGTGAGGCTCGGTCAACTGCAAATGCCTGATGGTTCACGGTTTCTCTATCTTGACCTCCGCTTAAACTTGCCACGAGTGGTGGCCCCAATTGAGTCACGGTCCCGAGTGTGACAAAGGGCACAAACAAGCACAGACGACAATGAGAATGGCGCGCGACTAAAAGCAAAGTAAGAGGCGAAGCGGCAGCAGCATTTTTCACGAGCTAATTTGTAGAGGCGTTTAAAATCCACTGCGATGCACGGACAACTGCCAACTGCTTCAGTTTTTCCAAGTGATTTTTTTTTATTTACAAGGATAAAAAAATTCTGGCGCCTGTGCTCACCTGTTTAGTTTGCCAAATTTAGTTCACCATGATTTTTTTTTTAAATGTCCTTTTGGCAGTAAGGCTGCTATGGCCAGGCACTTTATCCATAATCATCACAATTTATCGTGTTTATACCGCGCCTGCCATGTAGTACGTCTCGAGGTGAACAACTCAACAAAAGAGCATTGCCCATGCCAAGGAAAGGGCACTCTTCTGTACGTTACGTAAAGCACATTGTATCAGCACGCCCAACACGATGACTCAACAGCTGTCAGTCCCACTGCACTTTAGTGCACACGATGAGGGCCCATTCATTCGCTCTTTATCCAAAGGCTATCTTTGGAGAGCTCATCCTTCTTGCAGTTACCTGGTGTTCTTACAACATAATTTACAGTACCTGTATAGTACTGTATCGCGATTCTGGACCATGACAGGAACATTGGCGCCGTACACCTTTGAACCCTGGAGCGAGTCAATCACGGCGTTGCGACAGTAAAAACAACACCGAAGCAGTTTCCTGGTCAAACAAGCGTGGGGTGGCGGGTGACACTCGTCTCATATTTACAGACCCGAGACAACATGTGGAAATTCCACATTCCTATGGCTGCGATGTGTCGAGCCGCAGGTCAACCCGTTGTCACCTCGGTTACCGCGCAGGGGATGAGTGGATGTTGGGTGGACCCACAAGTGAATATGAATGACCAAACCCTCAGTTTTACTGTAGCAGTGTATAACTATTATCATTAATGACACTGCAATCATAGCGACGCCTTTGTACCGTGGTCTCTGTACCAGTGTCGATCTGGAGAGACTCCCACCATTTGTATGTCCAGTATGTTGAACTTCTTTCACACCGCACGCAGCCAATCGCGCTCACTGCACCGCGCACATCTGGATACCTTATCATCTCCGGCTACACGCGGCTCTGTGTTTAAACCGCCATCAGGAGAGAGAGAGAAACAAAATCGGGACGGACGGAAATTGCGGCTATCTGCCACACCGATAGACAATGGAGAATGACAGCCCGCAGTGATCCTGCGGTCACCGATCTAAAACCGGGGAGCGCTGAACGCCGCTCACTGTCCTGCCTGATTTTTGTCCAGGACTTCACACGCTCTCCTGAAGCCCCGTCCCACTGGCTCGCTCACGTGGCCGCCACAAACCCGTGAACAATCCGTACGCAGGATGGTCATCATCAACTAACTCCCCATCCACCCCCGCCGTACGAGAGAGAACGTTTCCACCTTTCCGCACTGAAGGGCCAACTTCACTGCCAGAATCGTCGTCAGCCGCCTCTGCACAACGTCGATGATGATGTTGTTGATGTTGTTGCAAGGGACGCGTTAACGTGGTTTTTGTTTTGCATTTGTCCGGCATGCAGTAAGTAGGACTGCGGCCACACCTGCACAGAAGGAACCACCCTTCCCATCTCGCAGCGAAAACACGATTGTTGTTTTCAAGAGTATTCATCCATCCTCCCGAGAGTTTAATCTTTTTGGTTTTTTACGTAAAAATTTTTTTTTATATATACCGAGACCTGCGATGGGATACGTGCCGCCTTCGAATTGATGATTGCGGCGAGATGTTTGATGGTGAAACTGCCGACGACGACGACGTTCTTTGAAGATTACGACCAAAGAAGGCTTGATGCCGAAGATGCCGAAGATGATGCCGTTGCTTTTGATGCTTAATTATTCCGAAAACGATTATGATGATGCTGCTGCTGCTCCTGCCGAGTGATACGATGCTTTTTTTACATCTTGCTAACGCCGGTGCTGTTTGTTACCGATGCTGACCTAGCCGAGACTGATGACGATGCCGTCTTTCACAGTTGTACGCCGATGCTTACCTCCCCCGGCTGATAACCGCGATGCCCGTAAACTACATGCTGACGGTGCCTACCCATGATGTCGCTTGCTGCAGAGTCGAATGACGAGCCCCGCTACCGGATGGCTCCAAGTGCTGAGACCACTTGGCGGTCTCAGCAACACCGCAGAGGGGGGTGGGCCCGGACACACTTCTAGACTAGTGCTGGTACTCGTAGGCTGGTGCTGGTACTCATAGACAGGTGATGGTACTTCTAGACTGGTGCTGGTACTTCTAGACTGGTGCTGGTACTTCTAGACTGGTGCTGGTACTTCTAGACTGGTGCTGGTACTTCTAAACTGGTGCTGGTACTTCTAGAATGGTGCTGATACTTCTAGACTGGTGCTGATACTTCTAAACTGGTGCTGGTACTTCTAGACTGGTGCTGCTACTTCTAGATTGGTGCTGGTACTTCTAGACTGGTGCTGGTACTCTTAGACTGGTGCTGGTACTCTTAGACTGGTGCTGGTACTTCTAGATTGGTGCTGGTACTTCTAGGCTGGTGCTGGTACTCGTAGGCTGGTGCTGGTACTCATAGACAGATGCTGGTACTCAGACAGGTGCTGGTACTTCTAGACTGGAGCTGGTACTTCTAGACTGGTGCTGCTACATCTAGACTGGTGCTACTACATCTAGACTGGTGCTGGTACTTCTAGACTGGTGCTGGTACTTCTAGACTGGTACTGGTACTTCTAGACTGGTGCTGGTACTTATAGACTGGTGCTGGTACTTCTAGACTGGTGCTGGTACTTCTAGAGTGGTGCTGGTACTTCTAGAATGGTGCTGGTACTTCTAGACTGGTGCTGCTACTTCTAGATTGGTGCTGGTACTTCTAGACTGGTGCTGGTACTTCTAGATTGGTGCTGGTACTTCTAGATTTGTGCTGGTACTTCTAGATTTGTGCTGGTACTCTTAGACTGGTGCCGGTACTCTTAGACTGGTGCCGGTACTCCTAGACTGGTGCCGGTACTCCTAGACTGGTGCTGGTACTCCTAGACTGGTGCTGGTACTTCTAGACTGGTGCTGCTACTCCTAGATTGGTGCTGGTACTTCTAGATTGGTGCTGGTACTTCTAGACTGGTGCTGGTACTCCTAGACTGGTGCTAGTACTCCTAGACTGGTGCTGGTACTCCTAGACTGGTGCTGGTACTTCTAGACTGGTGCTGGTACTTCTAGATTGGTGCTGGTACTCTTAGACTGGTGCTGGTACTCCTAGACTGGTGCTGGTACTCTTAGATTGGTGCTGGTACTTCTAGACTGGTGCTGGTACTTCTAGATTGGTGCTGGTACTCTATGATTACTGTTGTTACATTGTTTTTATAGCTTTATTTTGGTGATTGGAAAACATATGGTTAATCTAAATTGTCTTATGGTTGTTGTTCTTGGCTTACACCACATTGATTTTTGCACACAGCGTTTTAATAAGTTTTTTTCGTGTGGAATATTGGCTGGTTTATTCCAGGATGTTTCTGCTACGCGTTGTCGCTTTAAGATGTTCTGTGTTCAAATTTTGTTTGTTGCGGTTGCACCCGACTTGAGCTGCATGGCTCACAGGGCTATGCCTAATAAATGAAACTTGAAAAACTAGACTGGTGCTGGTACTCTTAGACTGGTGCTGGTACTCTTAGACTGGCGCTGGTACTCAGACTGGTGCTGGTACTTCTAGACAGGTGCTGGTACTTCTAGACAGGTGCTGGTACTTCTAGACAGGTGCTGGTACTCCTAGATTGGTGCTGGTACTTCTAGACTGGTTCTGGTACTCTTAGACTGGTGCTGGTACTTCTAGACTGGTGCTGCTACATCTAGATTGGTGCTGGTACTCTTAGACTGGTGCTGGTACTCTTAGACTGGTGCTGGTACTCTTAGACTGGTGCTGGTACTTCTAGATTGGTGCCGGTACTCCTAGACTGGTGCTGGTACTTCTAGACTGGTGCTGCTACATCTAGATTGGTGCTGGTACTCTTAGACTGGTGCTGGTACTTCTAGATTGGTGCTGGTACTCCTAGATTAGTGCTGGTACTCTTAGACTGGTGCTGGTACTTCTAGACTGCTGCTGGTACTTCTAGACTGGTGGCGGTACTCTTAGATTGGTACTAGACTGACGATACTAGACTGACGATACTAGACTGGTACTAGACTGATCCTCTACTGGTACTGGACTACGGATGTTCGACCGACGCCCACTCACCGACTCCGCTGTAGAAGGCGGCCTCGTTCTCCGCGTCCTGGTTGAGCGTGGAGAGGATCTCCCCCTTGCCCACGTCGCTGTCGCCCACGAGGAGGAACTTGAGCAGGTAGTCGTGCGTCTTCACGGGGCTGCCTCGATTCGACATGACTCAGGCGCGCTACCTCCGCGTCGTCCGCATGCTTCGCTCTCACGCTGGAATCGTGCGCGAGAGGGAAGATAGGAGAGAGGGAAGATAGAGAGATATGAGAAGAGAGAGAGATGAGAAGAGAGTCGAAGATAGCGAGAGAGAGAGAGAAGAGGCAGCAACAGCACCGCGAAGTCCGCGGATTTCTCGAGCAGAGGCCTAGCTACGCGATGCCGAAGACGCCGACCCTCGGATAGATTGCCCGCCGGGTTCGGTGCCTCCACCCTCGGCCTGGAGATTGCTGCCCGCGCGCCGGTCCGTACCCTGGCAGCCTGCGGTGGCGACGCCTAACAAACGACGGATTCTGCTCGATCACTCGCTCGCTCTGTTTAACCGAGTGGTGTCGTCGTTGTTGTTGTTTGTCTCCGTGTTGTTTGTCTCCGTGTCTGCCTGCAGACCGCGAGCTGAAGTTGTCCGCGCTCTGCGTAACGCGACCTCAACCTGGCCTCGCGGGTCGCCACTGCGCATGCGCACGCCCCACCCCACCCTCATCCTCCCCCATAGTGGGCGTTGCGAAAGTAACGAGAATCCATTCCAGCCGTAGAATATTCCAGTTTACCATGGGAGTCCAGTCTGTCATGGAAACCCAGTTTACCATGGTAGTTCCAGTTTACCATGGAAACCCAGTTTACCATGGGAGTCCAGTCTGTCATGGAAACCCATTTTACCATGGAAACCCAGTTTACCATGGTAGTTCCAGTGTACCATGGGAGTCCAGTTTACCATGGGAGTCCAGTCTGTCATGGAAACCCAGTTTACCATGGAAACCCAGTTTACCATGGGAGTCCAGTCTGTCATGGAAACCCAGTTTACCATGGTAGTTCCAGTTTACCATGGGAGTCCAGTGTACCATGGGAGTCCAGTCTGTCATGGAAACCCAGTTTACCATGGTAGTTCCAGTTTACCATGGGAGTCCAGTGTACCATGGGAGTCCAGTCTGTCATGGAATCCCAGTTTACCATGGTAGTTCCAGTTTACCATGGGAGTCCAGTGTACCATGGGAGTCCAGTCTGTCATGGAATCCCAGTTTACCATGGAAACCCAGTTTACCATGGGAGTCCAGTGTACCATGGGAGTCCAGTCTGTCATGGAATCCCAGTTTACCATGGTAGTTCCAGTTTACCATGGGAGTCCAGTGTACCATGGGAGTCCAGTCTGTCATGGAATCCCAGTTTACCATGGAAACCCAGTTTACCATGGAAGTCCAGTTTAGCATGGGAGTCCAGTCTGTCATGGAAACCAAGTTTACCATGGGAGTCCAGTTTACTATGGAAATCCCGTTTGTGTGTTTAACTTCCTTCGCAACATACCATGGAAGTCCTGTTTACCACGGGAGTCCATTTTACCATGGGAGTCCACTTTACGATGGGAGTCCAGTTTACCATGGGAGTCCACTTTACGATGGGAGTCCACTTTACGATGGGAGTCCAGTTTACCATGAGAGTCCAATTTACCATGGGAGTCCACTTTACGATGGGAGTCCAGTTTACCATGAGAGTCCAATTTACCATGAGCAGGGGTCAGCAACCTGCGCTTCCAGAGCCGCATGCGGCTCTTTAAGGACTGTTTCGTAACCGTTATTTATTCAGGGCCACCACCGAGGTCTCGTGTTCACCACGCAGTGCAAGTGCGGCTCTTTAAGTATTGAAACAAGCAAGAATTATCTTCTTCTTCTTGTTATTTTGGTTGCCGACCCCTGGGGATAGGGAAATCCCCAGTGGGGGGCTCAGGTGCAGTGGTGACATGTCACTGCTTAGTGTCATCCCGAGCGCGCCTCGGATTCGTGGTGGAGTTTCTCTCCGGGTCATATGGCTTCCTCCCCACATGAAGCCAAAACAATCGTTGGAGAGAATGTGCGAAGCATGTCAACGTCGCAGGGCCAGGGACGGCGCTATCGGGATGCCTGGGTCAGCCCTGCAACCGATGAATTGTACAAATGAGTGTGGTTGGCATTGTGCCCTGGGCGCAAAGAATCAAATGGGGCCCTCTGTCCGAATGACCCCCACCCCCCCTTCCTCGTGGGCCCTGCACACGCGATAGTTAGGGCCACTGCTCAGATTGGGGGGAGGGGGGGGGTCCCGAGACATGGCTGAAGGGGTGTGGGGTTGCCTGGGGGTGCGTTCTGACGAGGCAGGGAGGAACAGGCCCCACAGGGGGCCTACGCGGGCACTCTGAAAACTGATTTCAGAGATGTTGGCGAATTTATTATTCACGTGCCGCAAGCGATATGCAATTAGGACCATAGCCACATATATCCACTCGCAGGGCGGGGGAGATGAAGGGGAAAGGTCCATTAACCGGTTCCCCTGAGATACAACCAGCCCCCTTCGCGTGGTATTGTAGCCTCATTTATTAATACCCACTGCTGTGGAGCCATTGGCATTGGTGGCGACCAAATTACCCTGAATGCACCCCGTCTCGTCAGAATCTCGGAAACTAAACAGTTCACTTTGGTTACAGTATCTAGGATGGCAGACCACCAGGGCTTGCAAGATTTGTGTTTTTTGTTATGCGTGGGACTGTGAGCTGGCGCCAGGACATGTCACTGCTTAGTGTCATCCCGAGCGCGCCTCGGACGCGTTGTGGAGTTTCTCTCCGGGTCATATGGCTTCCTCCCCACATGAAGCCTAAACAATTGTTGGAGAGAATGTGCGAAGCATGTCAACGTCGCAGGGCCAGGGACGGCGCTATCGGGATGCCTGGGTCAGCCCTGCAACCGATGAATTGTACAGAAGTTCACTCTCCTCCTTATGGGCGCTGCCCTCCTCTATTAAAGATAGAACCGGAGGCAGGCGTGAGAGCAGGAAACACCCTTCAAAAGTCTTCAAACTCAGCGAAAGTTTTTCGGGTAAATTGTTGTTATTGTCATTGACATGAAACGTCACCGATTCGGCTTAACTGCAGCTTATAAAAGCCCATCTCCCTTGAACACACAGTTGTCTGTGATCTCCACGGTTACTCGAGTAAAGGTAATTAATCTACGACACATCCTGCCCTTTCTAGCAAGTGCTTATCAACCTGTCATCAGCCACCCGCAATCGATCCACTGCTGGATGAAGGGCTCCCCAAGAGATTCTCATGTAATAACCCGGCCGCAACCTGTACAGGTGCTTATTTCAATCGCTCCATCTCCACGGTGAGACGTAATCTAGGGCGTGTTCCCTTCTTTGACCACCACCGGCGCCACGTCGTTTGTATCGACTACTGCCCACCGTACCTTCTTCTAGCGGTCTGTTTTGCCGCCCACATCCACTTGATTTTCTGAACAGAGCCAAAGATCCCCCGTGCAGCCTTAACAAACCGTTGGGGCAAGTGCTGTTAACGAGCACCTATGAAGGCCGGAACGGTACACGAGTGGGTTTGGTGGCCAGCACCACGCCCGGCCGCCTTTATCTCCCCAGTAGCGATGTTTTACACACCGCACCAGGTATTTGAGGCCGAGTCGACCTAGGAGTGGCCCAGGACCAATTAGGATAATCGTCACTGGTGTTGGCCGTGAACGGGAATCGAACTTGGGTCGCCGGGTTCGTAGCGCAGCGCGCTCACCGCCACACTATTGCTCCCCATGCGTTTTCTTAACGGTGGTGTTAAGAAAAAGATACCACGAACATCGCCAGTGAGAAAATGGAACAGAAATGCTGAAAGGTGTGCACGGAAACATGGAGGGAGGGGGTGCATGCTAGGGAACAATGAGATGCAGGAGGAGGAAGAAACAAGTGAAACGGCGACAATTCACACGCTTGAGATCACATTAGGGAAGAGAAAATTTCAGTAATTGTAATTAAATATAAATGTAGAAATACAGCCCTTTGGCAATCCACTGCTGGATGAGGGCCTCCCCACGCCGCGCAGGCTGTGGGGGTTGTTTTGAACAGACTTCACGAGTAAAAAAAACAATCAATTCGTTCATCAATTTAAAAAAAAAGCCACGGCGAGATTAAAATTATAAATATTTCATAGGAGACGTTTTGGGCAAATGGCCCTTTTCATAGAACATACTTCACTATTCTGATGAGGGGGCTGGTGGTGTTGAAGAAGGGGGTTGGGGAAACAAGTACAGTAGGATAAATATTAATCTTGCAATTCCAGTCCATGGGAAAAGCAGGTAGACCGGCTCTGTGTGAATCAGGGCTGGGTCGGAGAGGAGGGAGTGCAGGGGCGGGGGGGGGTAGAGGGGCGGGAGAGGGTGGTGAGGTAATGAGATAAAAATGAGCTCACCCCCCACTGCCACGCAGCAGGCCTCCACGGCGATTCCCGTGCGCCACCCGCTGCGGTCACCTCCCTCGACAATGCAAAAACAACCCCCAACCCCTTCTTTTGAAATAAACGCAAAATAGACCGCTGCATCCCCAATGTATAGCAGGACCTCCTCCTCCAGATGAACACGAGACTCCCCCCTCTACTCCAATCATGGATAAATGATCATGATCATCATCACCTTCATCAATATTATTTTCTTTAAAAAAATGTACACGTCAATTCATGTCCGTCGTTTAACCGTGCGAGGAGAGTTTTCAGTTTCATTTATTAGGTATAACCCTGTGAGCCATGCGGCTCTTGACTCGGGTGCAACCGCAACAAAACAGAAAGATGAACAAGAAACATCTTAAAGTGACTATACGCAACAGAAAAAATCCTGTAAAAAACATCAAGTCTTCCAGTACACATGTGTGAGATTCGACAGCTAGACAGTTCACACGCATGGGGCGGGGGGGGAGTTGCGGTACTTCAAGAATCCGGCTATTATTTTATAATTATTCATTATTATTATTTTTTTCCGGACAGAATTCCCGGCATAGGGCGACGAAGCCAGCCAGCCCAGTGATAATGCCGCTGGGCCTTCGACAGCCACGGTGAGGCTGCATCGGACACCGTCCGACGTTAATTTAAAATTCAGTGGCAAATCGTGGCCGGAGTGGGGATCGAGAATTCGAGCCGCACTCCAATCAGGTTGATTCTCCTTTGTTGGATCTATTGGGCCACAAGGCATTGTTTCATAAAAACAGGGTGCTTCAAATAAATGTGAACACTTCGGAGAATTTACAACACCACAAGAAATGTGCTGCTGCACACAGAACACCTGGAGAAGATTCCAGGCCACGCGCTGACAATGATGGCGAACAAGTGGAGACTCTTTGACTTATTGAAGCTATTAACATTACGTTTGTTATCATCTTACGATGTATTATCCGATTTTTTTCCCCCATTAAAAACGATAGTCCCATGTAAGTGTTAACATTTTTTGAAGCACCCTGTACTCTCGGCGGTGAATCACTTTCGCACCTCCGATTAGCACGGTTGGCTACGTACGGTACGAAAGAAGTTCAACATAGTACATACTCTCCCGTCACCTATCCCCCAGTATAGCCTCAATAGACTGTCGGGGCAAGTGCTGTGAGCGAGCACCGATTAAGGCCGGCACGGCACACGAGGGTGTGGGTGGCCAGCAACCACGCCA